ACTATGCAACAAATTTGGACAAATGTTTACATATTATAAGTTCAAGAAAGTTATAGCATTAGTGGATCTTTTTAATGTATCTAATCTAATTGTATACTATAAACTACCAACCGGTGCTTTGAATTTTTCTCTTTTGCTATCCCCTCATTCAAAATTCATATATAATGCATAATATGTACTATATTGCACCGATACGGATACGGCGACACGGATACGATACGATACGGATACGGGACACGTCAATTCTTAAAAATACAGGATACGAGTACGGCGCGGACACGGCATTATAATTTATAAATCATACATAAAAATTAAGAAAGCAATCAAAACATAATATTTGAAATTACAAAAAAAATGAAAACAACATCATTTGTAGCATTGTAGCTTATAATATCAAAATATAAGTAAGTATTAAATGTCTAGTACAACAACAAAAGCATAAACATAAATTATCTATCACATGAAGTTTCAACTATTCAATAGAAGGAATGATATAATTATCTTCTTCATTGATTTGTCTTTGAACTTCCATATCATCTTCAATAAATATCATAGCTTCTAATTCAGGCTCATCAAGTGAAAGATTAATAATTTTTAATATTTTCATATCATCAAGAGACTCAAATCCATCTCGGAAATGAGAGAATCTTGCTCGCAACCGCGAAAGTTAATACGACACGTCTTTTTTTTTTCGGATTTCTTTTTGTTTTTCAGCGGACACACGTATCGGATACGCATGTCCTTTTGAAATTAAATAGTATTTCAATTGGATACGGCTTTAGCGTATCCGACACGTATCGGTGGAGCATCGGAGGCGTATCCGTGTATCGGATAAATCACGCCTTCATAAATAGGTGTATCGGTGTAACATAGAATATGTATAATTCTGAGGTGGCTATATTATCTTATGGTTGAAGGTACAAGAACAACTTCAAGTATTTATCTCGCTATGTGGGGTTGGTTAAATGAATCTTTTTCTCCATTATGTCCTGTTAAGAGTCAAATTCTCATTTAAATCTAATAAAAAAGATGTCCTTTCTAATATTTTTTAACCAAGTCTTCTTAGGTCTACCTCTATCTTTTTTAATATAGGTCAAATCTAATACATCTACTCTCCTAATTAGATCATCGAAAGGCCGACGTTTTATGTGGCTAAACCATCTAAGACGACTCTCTCTAATCTTATCTGGCACTGGAGCCACTCTAACCTTTTCACATATATACTCGTTTCGCATTCTATCTCTAAGAGTGAAGCCACTCATCCACCTAAGCATCCTCATCTTTGCAACACTTAACTTAATTTTATACTTCTCTTTTAATGGCCAACATTCTACACCGTAAAATATTGCAAGTCTCACAAGCATCTTATAGAATTTTTCCTTAAGTTGAGGGGCTCTTTTCTATCACATAATAGGCTCGATGCATTCCTCCACTTCAACCATCCAAGGTGAATTCTACTAATAATATCCTCATCTATTTCACCTCACTTTGAACACTAGACTCCGAGATATCTAAAAAATATACTCTTATAAATGACTTGATTGCCCAAAGTTACAATCCCACCCACTATATCTATTACTACTAAAATTACATTTTATATATTTAATTAAATGAATATTTTTCTCCATTATGTCCTGTTAAGAGTCAAATTCTCATTTAAATCTAATAAAAAGAGGTCATTTCTAATATTTTTTAACCAAGCCTTCTTAGATCTACCTCTATCTTTTTTAATATAGGTCAAATCTAATAGATCTACTCTTCTAATTAGATCATCGAAAGGCCGACGTTTTATGTGACTAAACCATCTAAGACGACTCTCTCTAATTTTATCTGGCACTGGAGCCACTCTAACCTTTTCACATTTATACTCGTTTCGTATTATGTCTCTAAGAGTGAAGCCACTCATCCACCTGAGCATCCTCATCTTTGCAACACTTAACTTAATTTTATACTTCTCTTTTAATGGCCAACATTCTACACCATAAAATATTGCAAGTCTCACAAGCATCTTATAGAATTTTCCCTTAAGTTGAGGGGCTCTTTTCTATCACATAATAGGCTCGATGCATTCCTCCACTTCAACCATCCAAGTTGAATTCTACTAATAATATCCTCATCTATTTCACCTCACTTTGAACACTAGACTCCGAGATATCTAAAACATGTACTCTTATAAATGTCTTGATTGCCCAAAGTTACAATCCCACCCACTATATCTATTACTACTACAATTACACTTTATATATTTAATTAAATGAATCTTTTTTCTCCATTATGTCATGTTAAGAGTCAAATTTTTATTTAAATCTAATAAAAAAGAGGTCATTTCTAATATGTTTTAACCAAGTCTTCTTAGGTCTACCTCTATCTTTTTTAATATAGGTCAAATCTAATACATTTACTCTCCTAATTAGATCATCGAAAGGCCTACATTTTATGTGACTAAACCATCTAAGACGACTCTCTCTAATCTTATCTGGCACTGGAGCCACTCTAACCTTTTCACATATATACTCGCTTCGCATTCTGTCTCTAAGAGTGAAGCCACTCATCCACATGAGCATCCTCATCTTTGCAACACTTAACTTAATTTTATACTTCTCTTTTAATGGCCAACATTCTACACCATAAAATATTGCAAGTCTCACAAGCATCTTATAGAATTTTCCCTTAAGTTGAGGGGCTCTTTTCAATCACATAATAGGCTCGATGCATTCCTCCACTTCAACCATCCAAGTTGAATTCTACTAATAATACTCATCTATTTCACCTCACTTTGAACACTAGACTCCGAGTATCTAAAACATATACTCTTATAAATGACTTGATTGCCCAAAGTTACAATCCCACCCACTATATATATTACTACTAAAATTGCACTTTATACATTTAATTTTAGATTTACTTAAACGAAAATATTTAGACTCTAAGGTTGACCAACATAATTCAAGTTTACCTTCAACTCCCAATCTAGTTTTATCAACAATAAGAATATCATAAGAAAAAAGCACCCACCAGGATACATCCTCTTGCAAATGTCTAGTAAGAATATCCATGACTAAAGGAAAAAGATACGGGCTTAAAGTTTTATGTGTGGAATCTGATTGTGTTGATCAACTAATTATTCATTTGTTTTGGACCTCAAAGCTTGTCGTGTACACTGGGGGTGCGAAGGGTTTACCCTCTGCTTGGGTTTAGGTGCTTTACAAACGTAAATTTTTTCCCCGTACAACGATCCGGCGCTGCGTACCCCAGCACTGAATGACAGAGAGAAGAACGCCATAATGGTTGAAGACAGAGGCTTGAGTGCCGCTAGGGGTGCAAACGAGTCGAGTCTAGCTAGAGTCAGGGGATGTTCGAGTCCAGCTCGACTTTGAAAATCTGAGCTCAAGCTCAAAAGTCGAGCTCGACTCGACAAGAAAAAAAGCTCGTCGAGTCCATCCGTCATGCCCGTCGCGTCCATTTGTCATCGCTGTCGTGTCCATCCGTCATCTGTTGCGTCCATTTGGCAGTCCGTCGTGTCGGCTTGCAGCGATGCTGGTCCATCGTCCGTTTGTTCATGTCTTCGTCAGCGCTATCGCGACTCGCGAGCTGTTTGAAGTTCGTCTGTTTGCCTCGTCTTCGCAAGCGATGCAGCCGATGCTATTCCATTATCCGTCCATTCGTGTCTTTGTCGGTGCCGTCGCAAGCTATTCGAAGTTCGTCAGTTTGCATCATCTTCCGAACCTCCATCTTCGCCGTCTCCCTTCACGTCAGCGAATTCTCTTTCCCGCCGGCTAGTGTCCATCTCGAGTTGCTCGATGAGCTCGCAAGCAGAGTAGAGGGTTGTTCGAGCTCGATTAACTGTCGAGCTCGAAATTTTGATCGAGCTTGATAAGCTTGGCTCATCGAGCCTGTTATTGAGTTGAGCTCGAGCTGTCTCGCGAGTCGGCTTGACTCATTTGCACCCCTAAGCTCCGCAACGCTTCAAACTGGCGTCGCAGTGCTAGGAGTCAGACTGGACGGTTTTTTTTCTTGTTTTCTGAGAGGTTGCGTCCCTTGGAGTTTATTTACTTGGCTTTGTCTGATATTTTTAGTGAGGGCAAGAGTGAGAATGGTGCATGTAAGAAGAGAAGCAATGTGTGTGTGAGAGAGAGATTTCTACTTATTTCTCACAATTTTCATAGTGAATTTCTTGGTGTGGTGTGGCTTTATGGTTGTTTCCCTATTTTGTATTTTTCCACGTTAAATCCTTGTGTCCTTCACTTTTTGTTGCTTTACTTTCTTGCTTGCTTCATCATTGTGGTGTTGACTCCTCATCTTCCCCAACATAAAGTTGATCCTTGATGTAATCCAACTGAAAAGGAAAGTACTTTGTTAAAATACCTTGTGTTTGAACATAAGTAACAACTTCTACATATGTATCCTTAAGAACTTAAATATAAGCATTATTAATCTTTTTTTTTTTAGAAACTTTATCAAATGCTCTTTCTAAATCAATAGATATCGTATAGATCCTACTTATCCTCTCTATACTTCTCCATCAATGTTATGGTTGAAGCTATAATGGTGTAATGAAATTGAATCCCTTATTAATTGTGAGTATTAGAAGTATTTTGTATAGTGGCAAGATACGCATGTATGGGATGAGTCATTGATATCTCTGTAGGAAATCCATAGGTAAGCTTGTTTTTATAGGATTAGTATCAACTAAATAAATCATCTGAGTCAAATTTTCTCAACCCAAACAGAATTTATGTAAATCACAAAGTCCATAATCGTCAAAATGAAAAAATGTTTGCATTATGGAAACCAATTTTAAATGTGAACTTCAAAAATTTGAAATTTGAAATTTATTTGTAATCAACCGTTGAGTCTTCGCTCTGTGGGAGTCTTTATTTATATGCAAATGATCTTACACTATTAAGATTTTAGTGTTAGCTTTAGTTGCTATATTACTGATTCTATTTCTAATAATTCCTCTGTTTTTATCTACTGTTTATTCTGTATTTCTTTCCCAGAACTGTACTAAGAGTAGCAATTGCGGTTAAAGGCTGAGGATTCTTGGCGGTGCTTTCTATTATAGCCTTTTCTTCTGGCTTGCTCGCGGATCCTGCTGCTAGTTGCCTTGTGAGTTTTCTAGATTACACTATTCTATTGCCGTCCATATTGGGAATTTTTTTTTTCTATTGTTCAACTCTCCTTTAGTGGCTGCTTTTTATAAGATGTAATCTGATTTTATTTTGCAATTATAAATGAGTTTTTGGCATCAAAAAGATTTTTATACTGAGCAAATAGCACATATTGGGGTTCAACTTGATCAAATATGACACTTAAAATTTAGAAAGAAACTCTTTGAGTAAGTGTGAGGCTTGTTTTAAAATGATTGATTTCTTTTTTATGTTTTTTTTTCTTTTATTCACCTCATCTTTTCCGTTTTTGATTGAAAGTGATATTTTGTTTTGTCAGATCAGTGACAATTCAAAACTATTTTCTGTTCTGTGAAATTTCAATAATGTGATGTGCATGACTTTTGTGATCTTCACTTACAGGTCTGAAATTTTCAATTTTTTCAGTTTTCATCAATTTTAGTAAAATAATTATTTAAGATTAATAGTTTGCATAATTCTAAATTTACATATTTAATACCTTGCTTTCTATATCGTGTTAGTCTCTTAGATCTATATTCAAAGACCCCGGCACCCGGAAAGAAGCATGGAACCCCCCCCGCCCCCCCCCCCCCCCCAAAAAAAAAGAGTGATATGGGCAGTTCTCGATTATGTTCATGATCAGAAATGACCATTCTTTCTATCTCCCATATGCTTATTAGGCAATATAGTTTGAGTTGTTTTAAGGAAAAAAAAATGAAAATATTTCAACTTAAACTTTGTTGGTTTGAGAACATTGAGCGAATACATGAACACAGTTATGAATTCTATCCTCCTGTTTAGGGGTGTCAATTTCGGGTCACAGGTCAAATTCTGATCGAACCCAAAACTAACCCAGTGCTATTCGGGTCAACTTGAATCCGACCCATTTTGACAAACGGGTCGGTTTTTTGGACCTGAACTCGACCCGCTTCAGGTTCGGGTCAACCCGACACAGCGTGAATGACCCGGGACCGTGAAACAATTGCTAATTTTTGGGTCAAAAAAATGGGTCAATCACGCTTTTCGGGCAAAAAAAGTGTCGAAAACGGATCAATCTCAGGTTTTCGGGTAAAAAACGGGTGTTCAGGTAAAAAACGGGTCAATTTCGGGTCAAAGGGTCAACCTGAACCCGACCCGTTTTTTGAAAATGGTCAAATTGTTGAACCCGAACCCGACTGATTTTAGGTCCGGGTTGAACCTAACCCGGAATTTTCGGGTCGGGTTCGAGTCGGATTTTCGGGTCGTGTCAAATATTGACACCCCTACTTCTGTTTGAGGAATGTAGTAACTTCTCCATACTCTTTACATGGTTCTCAAGTCATATTTCAATAGAAATCTTCAGCATCTTGCATTATGATTCATCAGTGTATCTATTTCCTGGAAATTAAGTAATTTCTAGGAAAAGTAAAGCCGTGATGATGTCGGGGTAATTGCTCCATGCTCTGTACATGATTCTCAAGTCATATTTTACTTTAGAATAAATGAAGTGGTTAATCAAGTTGATATGCTTTGCAATAATTAGTTTCCTTAACTGTACTGGTTCATGTGCTGCGAAAGACAGTTGTTTCTTTGAATACAATATCTCAGTGAGGATATTCAATGGCAAATATTTACTCTTTGCCAGGACTTAGCTGCTAGCTGTGAACTGCACTTCTAGCCAGTGTGTTTAGCTGTCTTGTTGGTAGCATGAGCTGGCTTTTAGCATTTAGTCTCAAAAATTATTGAAAAAATCCTTGAGTTAGGATATCATCACCTAATTTTGGTCAAATAGATCTCTAAGTCATTAAATTTATCTTAAGATGGTATAATATGTAGAGAATTCATAAAAACTGTATTGTATTCAACTAAACATAAATCCAACGGTACATGAGAGAGAGAGAGAGAGAGAGAGAGAGAGAGAGAGAGAGAGAGAGAGAGAGAGAGATTATCAAAAGAAGAGAATGATTGCCGGTGTGAAAGGATTTATGGTTTAGTGGCTGGAGAATGGTACTTTTGAAGATCATAAATTTGAGTCACATCTTTGAAATTTATCACTAATCATTTAAAAATAAATAAATGGAGAATGGATAACTTGGTCTAACTTGGTGGAAAGGCGGCTATATGGATGGTGGCTGCTATTTTGGGCTTCTTGTGATTGGTGAGTGGGATGGGAACTGATCCCAAAAGATTGGAGCCATGGATCAGGGTAGGGTGTTAATATATAACTTCAAACAGAGTTATAAATGATCTGAAACTACTAGTGTCAGGAGATTGATAGAAAATTTCATTAATCAGTAGACGCTCAGCAATTTAGGTTTCGTTTGTGACAACTTTCTTACTGCTTTATTAAAATTTTTGTGCAAAAAAAATTGTTTTAAGAAGCAGTAAAAAAGCTGTCCCAAATGAAGTCTTGATAGTCTTGGTAAGTTGCTTCTGCCCCTTGAGGTTCCAAAAGAGAAGTTGGTATAATCTTGCTTTTCAAGGGCCACAAAACCAACTAGAGGGTAGCTGAAAGACTAATGACCTTGATGGTTGACATGATTGGAGCGATCCATTGAAGTGATGCTCTGCTGTTATGGCCACTAATGACAGAAAATATAAGGTGACAATATCATCATTTGACTTGAGCCTGAGTAATTAATCAAATCTCAGCTTGCTGTTGAGTTAAATTTTATGAGTCTTAGTCAGCTCATAAGTTGGCTTATTTTATATAATTTTGATTCTAGTAGCTGTTGAAATAAAATGACTTGAATAAAAATTAGGAGAAATAACCAGAAATCATTTGAGGGGTTTTTTGGTTGTAAGTATTTGTAGTGGAAAATTATATCAAATGCATGGTATTTAAATTTTTCTATGTTTAGTTAAAAGAAAAGCTAATGCATATTAATAATTTGGGGTATCTGAAGTTTCTTATTTAGTTTATTGTCAATATATTTAGAATTCATCTAATTTGATTGAATTTCAATTACATTGAAATGTGAATTGTCGCCTACCGACAATAGCTGCCGCTTGCCACAATCAATAAGTCGCCAGTCATTGTTGTTGTCAGCCGTCGTTGCGACCACTAAGGACCACCGTTCATTGTTCCTCACAATCATGGTCGTCGCCTGACACCACCACCACACACCACCGCCATATTTTAAGTATAGGTTTCACTTGCAAACAATATAAAACCAACAAAATAGTTCAAATACATAATTTTATTTTACATTATATTCTGAAAGCATTGGATTTTCAAATACTTCAACTTAAAACAACGTTCGACAAGAACAATATTTTATCTTTACACACTTGAAATATAATATATTTGAAGCACGTCTTATATAGCCTCACAATTTGACGAGTAATTCAAATTTGACTCATCAACTCATCAAACTAGCTCAAGCTTACGAGTTGGCTCGACCCAATCACACCTTTTATCTGAACACATCTTTGTGGTCCTTTTTGTCTAATCAGTGTAGCTTTCGGTTGAATTGCGTGAGCATGAAGAATTGGTTGCTTCCATGGAAAGCTATGAGCACAAACGAGTTAGGCCAACTACAATATTATTTTCTTAGTCTCACGTCAAAGTCTCCGACCACTTAAAGTAGTTGCTGGGCTAATCCATAGCACAAAGTTTGCTTTGCTGTAACTCAGCCGATCGAAATTCTCAACCTACTTAGCCTATTTTTCTTCAGCCATGTACTTTTCATAAAGTCCCAGATAGAATTCTCATGATTTTTTTTTTCTTTTTGGGTAACAAACAATTAGCGTTTGGTGGTGCAGAATACTATGAAGTTGGAAATTGCCACAGCAGATAATAATTCGGTTAACAAGAACCTTAACGGCTTCCCATGGCATGTCGGTTATTTATGATAAGTGGAAGGCCATATATTAATAGTGTAATATTATGCTAATATTTTTTGAATAATATTTTGTGATATTTGAGCTCAGTGGTGTCAAATAGGTTAACGAGTCAAATTTAGATTCATTCTAAAATTGAGTCTGATCTAAAACAAGTTGACCCGAACAAGTTCACAGGTCGGGTTCAGATCCGTTCTAAAAAATAAGATAAAAAAAAAAGATTAAATGGGTCACTTTCGGGTCAAATTTGAGTTTGTGGGTTAATCTGAATCCAACTTGCCAAATAAACGGGTTGAAATTTCATATTCAAATCTGACTAATTTATTAAACTGTTCAAGCCGAATTCAAAATTTTCAGATTGGATTTGTCGAGTTGGGTCATTTATTAACACTCATTTTAGCTCTATTTTATCATCATCATCATCATTGGTTACTCTATTGATTATTTGGCTTTATTTTAACAAAGCATCTAATCAAACAAAACATTAGGCTTAATAATAGTGTCATTTATTAAAGAAATCATATAAAAATAAACTTGGAGATGATTTTATTAGATGACTTCCTCGTGTGTGTTGCACTATCTCTTAGTCTTTGTTCTTATCTCCCTCCACTGGCCTACACCCCTATGTTGCATCACCAAACTTTTTTTATATATTTGCTCTGAGGGAGAATCTTGACCTTGAGAAGGTGGTACCACCTCTCTTGGTGTAGTATTTTTTCTTCTTCTTCTTCTTTTTCTTGCCTGTCACAACCTCCTTCCTTATATTATGATACCTTTGAGACGAGAAAAAAATTATATCTGGATATCCTGATGCGAAATATATCAGAAAGAGCTTTAGAAGTTTTAAATTTATATTGAAATTAATGTTGTTGATGATATTCTAAATTGTGTTAATCTCAGTATAAATTTAATGATTTTGAAGTATATTTTGATGCATTTTATATTAGGATATTTGATATAATTTTTCTCTATGCTCCTTTGAAGAATCTTTATGCTAAGATGTAGATGTGATCTCCTACTCTAAGATATTATGACATTTTCTTATAAATTGAGTCCTTAAATCAGGCTCTCTTTTTTTTTTTTCAGAATTTTGGATTATCTAAAAAATAGATAAAATATTAAAAATATTAAAAAAAATTAATAGCAAAGAAAATTTCACTTGTTTTATAATATTATTAGGGTTTCTAATATGGGACTATAGATTTCACTTTTTGATAATTTCAAACCCTAATAGAGCTTATAATATACAATTTAATAGACAAGTTAATTTGCTAGACAAATTTAAGGGCATCATTATCATATCACATAAGAATCATAGAAAACTTTGATCCATATTCATTATTGGCATATATAATAAATATTATGGTATGTTCTCAATGATGATCATAATA